CCTCTCTCTCTCTCTCTCTCTCTCTCTCTCTCTCTCTCTCTCTCTCATGCATACTCAAGCGGGCGCACACACACAGTGACTAGAGATAAAAATATGCAACAGCTGCAATAATCAAGGAGATTAAAAATGAGGTGAACCTCTCCGGAGACAATAAAATTCAAGCAAGATTGCGAAAGGCTCAGCGACTCAAGTAAGCCTCTGCAGTCTAATCCACTTGCCCAGGTTTGTCTCGAACTCATGTTTAGATTTTTACAATTCAGTTGCTACCATGTGAATTTCACTCAAGTTTTAAATCGCTACATGAGATCAGGGCAGATTGAGGAGACATGTAGAATTCTAAGGTATGGCTTGTGTCCAATATAGACTAGTGATTTGTACCACTCACTTCATGGCGCTGAACTTTCATGTGGGCAAAAAGACAACCAAAACCCAAAGGTACTTGAGATATTTAAAGATACAAAGGTGATGTTATTAAACACTGTTTCAGTCTCTTATGTCTTGGATGGAAAATAACTATTAGATTACAAGATAAAGTGCACATCAGATTATACAGCAAAAGAATAATAAGGAAACTGCAAGGAAAAGTGAAAAATAAATACAACAATTTCATAGAATAAATACCATAATGAAGATCATAGAATGGATCACCCAAGTTTGGGACCAAGGAAACAAAAGCAATAGTCACCCCACTACTCTTCATGTTTCCCTTCATAGGTATCTGCATGCATGATTGCGAAAACTGTGTCTTGGTGCGCATACAAATATGCATTTATGCATGTCGGTTTACATATGGAGTATAAATATAAACAAGAACAACAATATTTGTGTTTTTATGTTTATATTTCTCGCTTAGCAAAAAAAGAGTAATGCACATGTTTCTCAATGTACACGTGGATGTTTATATGTTTAAACTGTATGTCACATTTGAGAAATAATCGCATTAGCAACCCAGGGACTATCTGGTATTGATGGAATTTTCAGAGACCACCTCAGCAACTCCTATCTCACCTACCGTGGACACATCGACACTGGGAAATTAACATTGGCTGGGACCCAATCCCCTTATGGGCCTCAGACTATTTATACAAAGTAGGGGGTGGCACTTGCTGAGATATAGACATGCGTAAGTGTAAAAGAAGTACAGTATACAAATGTTTCCCTAAAAGACACTTCAATGAAATATTATTAAGCAAAATGAAATGAAGCAGACAAAAGGTTCGATGTCACAAAAACGTTACCTCAAATAACGGTAAAACCTAGCAATAGATCTAAAGAGGCGAAACCATCAAGTTTTTGAAAAAAAAACACAGACGACATTATTATGCACAATGCATGAGAAATATTTGAATACACAACATGCGAAACTACATCAAATTTAAGCATATCCGCTTTTGAACAAAAAACACGGACTACATTATTATGCACAATGCATGACAAATATCCGAATATACAAAATGTGAAAACAACATCAAATTTAAGCACATGCAGAAAGTAACAATCATAATCTTTAATCAAGGTTATTTAAAACCTCAAAACTAACCATGGTTGTGGTCATGCTCATGATGGTGGTCATGCTCATGATGGTGGTCATGATCATCCTTGTCCTCTTTTGAACCTTCAGCATAGACTACACTCTCAATCCTGATATTAATGTATAAAATGTCGGCATTGTCATTAATAGACCTCCGAGCAAATACCTCATATAGCACAAAGCAGAAAGTATAACAATACTGTATATATCCCCAATCTTAAAGCAAATAGTACCATCCAAAAATAGTGGATGCAGGTCAACATTTCTTTGAAAACAATGCTTTCAATTAGAAAAGCAACGACCAAAGATGCTAAAGCCGTCCCCAAAAACCCATCATCTTCTTCAATAAGACATTCAAACCCAGAAAAAAGAAGTGGTCAAATATTAATTACCAATCAGGAGACACCATATTCAAACAAAAAATGAACTGAGAACAACTTATCAATATCAAGAAAAGGTAACACCTTTCATTATATAAAACCTCTCGACTCCCAACAAACATAGCTAAAAAAAATCCAACACCACTGTCCCCCTTTTACACAGTAAAAATTTAAAAAACAAAGACAGGTTTCTCACTCCAAATTTCACAAAAAGATGTAAGTATTCCTGAATATTTACCAGATTACTAACAGCTCTAGTTTCTACCCAGATAACATACTATCCTAGTTCCTTGCTTAAGAGTTAAGACAGCAATTCTCGTTACCTGTTCAGTAGATTCCAGACACTAACTTCAAGCATCTTTTTTAACCATTTTTATTCAGTGTGTGATCCACACATCCCCATACGTGAAGCTCTTAGGGTACGTTTGGTTCGCACATAAATATTCCCCAGGTAATATTTACATATGTAAACACTTTACCTATGTAAATATTTGCATATGCATTCGTTTTACGATGTTTGGTAGCACATTTAAAAAGCACTGCGTATACAATATCATATGTTTGGTAGCGCCTGGTTGGTGTGAAAATATTTACACAAAACCTTGAATACATAATATAATAAATATATCATATATTTTATATATTAAATAAATATATATTATAATATAAATATTATTTATTATAGATAACATTATTTATAATATATATTATATATAATGAGAATTATATATAGATATATAATATATAAG